TTTTTTTTTTTTTTAATTTGATAATTTAAACCATCCATAAATCATCCAAATTCTGGATTTTTTCTTTTACTTTTTTGGTAATGGGTTTGTTTCGGGATCATATATCTCGAAAGATTTTCGTAAAGATTACATTTTTATGTATTGCGGTCTGTTTTGGTTGCATATTCAAATGTTCTTGAGTTCTTTTCAAATTATTCGGGGGGTTGTTTTACTTGATCATCGCAATATCGTTGTTTGTTTTTGTATTCTATTATGAATTGCCTTGCTTGAATGTGGGTTCTTCATCTAGTTGTTGAGCATTTTTTTCATGATATGCTCGATTAGCATATGGTAATGAACTAAAGTAGATGGATTTCTGGGTGGTTCTTGTTGATAACTTGTTTGATGTTTTATAAATGTCATCCAATTTAACTTAGCTCACATTTCTATTCCCTTTCACAGTTTTGTGGTATAGTAGTGTGTGAATAATATACAAAACCATAAAGGCACGAGAAAAAACTCGATTTCTATCCCAGTCGACCGAGCGGAGATGAACAGAACACCATCCGCCACAGGGCCTCCGCCACCACCGCCATCAAAGACCAAGGAATTGGATATTCCACTCCACACCATCGGCTTTGAAATCGATTGCCTTTCGCCTCAAAAAGTTTCGGGCCACGTTTTGATTTCTGAAAAGTGCTGCCAGGTAGTATACTATACATTACTCCTACTCCATACCCTCTTCATCTAGTTTGTAGACTCCATTGTACCCTACCTGTTCTTTTATTGATATATTTAGGCAGATTACAATAGGTACAACCTTAGATTTAGCTTTATGAAGTAGAAACAAAGGTAGTTACTAAATTACATTATCTTTGAGGTTTGTAGTTTTTTTATTTTCCTTTGAAAGTATTTGAAAGTATTAGAAGTGAAGGTGGGTAGCATTGGGTATGTGCGTAGGAGATCGAGGATCGGTGAGAAGGGTCGAAATATTATAATTAAGAACGCAAATTAAATTGGTGTGGACCTAAGAAAACTTGGAAGGAAACAATAAAAAATGATTTTAAATATTTAAATTTGAATGAAGATATGTGTTTTGATCGAGCACGATGGAGACATGCGATCCATATAGCCGGCTGGTTCGATTGGTTCAATCGATTGGTTGGCCATCACGCCGGTCCGGTTTGAGGTAGTAAACTGCATGTGCCCAAAACCGAATAAAAACCGTACGAACCGGTTAAACCGATAATCCGTCACCGATTGTGCGGCCCAACCAGTTTAGTTTTAGGCTTTGTATGGTGAAGTTAAAACTATCATTTAAATAGCATGATGTTTTTCCTTGTGCTTTCCATTTGGGATATACATCCTATTTTCTTTGTTTTTTTATTTTGGACTTGGGCTTATAAGTTCACTTTGGACTTGGGCCTATAATATTACTTTGGACTGCTTGGTAAGTGGTAACTCTACAAATTGTGAAAGATTTGTACTCAAAGGCCCAATTTAGATGGTTTTAGTCTCAGGTGGTAATTAAATTATATACATGAGCTAAATATTTCTTCTTGTGTGTGCAATAGTTTTAGTTTTAGAAAATTACTTTAATTTCATAAAAAGAAGACATCAAATTAATTTTGATGATTTGACTTTAGAGTCCAAAATTATCAAAAGCAAAAGCCCAAAACTGAAAGTAATAAAAAACTTGAAATCTAATTTAAAAAATAAATCACAAATTTATTATTTATTGTCGGTTGTATGAATATCTATTAGAGCGGACTCTTATTTAGAGAAATATCATTATACACTATAAAATTAATGATAAAATATATACAATTATATATTATACATTAAAATAAATAAAAAATTATATATTAATTAACTGGTTCGACCAGCGAGCTTCATCTGTTCGATAACCGGTTCGGTTCTGAAAACCATGGATTTTAATGGTTGTTGCCGTTGTTGTTTCAGAAGCAACAACCTCTGAAAATTACAAAATCCCTTTTGGAGAATTCATTTTCCTTAATTTGGGGTTCATTTGAAACCAGCTTTTACTAGTTCCGCATTACAATATGGGTAGCGTTTGCATAACAAACCCAAAGAGATGCATGCATTTGTAGTTTCGGAAATGATACCTCTTTTCGTTTCGTTCCTTTTATCCTGTTGCCAATTCTTGAGGTTATTTTGTGCTCGTATTATTAAACCTTTTGATACATTACTATGGCTAGAAATTAAGTAGTAAAGCTTTGTGTGTGGACAGCCGTTCAAGGTGCTTCATGGAGGTGTTTCGGCACTGATAGCCGAGTCTCTAGCAAGCATTGGGGCCCACTTAGCTTCAGGCCTTCAGAGAGTGGCCGGCGTACACCTCAGCATCAGTCACTTAAAGAGTGCAAAATTAGGCGATTTTGTTGTTGCCGAAGCTAAGCCTGTGAACATAGGGAAAAGTATTCAGGTATATTTTTAAGCGCTAATTCCATTACAAAACTACAATAACCATTCATAAATCATAATACTCTAAGGCTTGTATTCGTTTGGGATTTTGAGTGACATTTTGGACTTTTGAGATTTGAAACTTCTTAAGATTTTCGAATTTAAGAAGAATATTGTGAAAGCTTAAGTCTGGATGTTGGATGTGGGATTTGGAGTGAGATTTCGTATATGTTTTTTTCTTTAGAAATCTCAACAAATCTTAAAAAGTCAGAGCAAATTCTAGTTTCAAATCAGGATTTTGGATTTTGTAAGACTTTAAAATACCAAATGAATTCCTCAAGACTTGTAGAAGTCATAGAAAGTCTAATAAATTAAATATATTAGGATTTTCGAAATCAAGTCTTTACAAATCGCAAATGAATATACGGCCTAATAAACAAAAGATGAAAGACTTTTGCTGTGTTCTCTTGATCGTTGTCTTGTCCATAATTAGGGTTGTAAACAAATCAATCACGTTCGATTTGATTTGTGATTCGAATTCGGTATTCGTGATTCATATTCGTAAAAATTCGAATTTGAATTCAAATAAGAATAGTGTTTAGTATTCGAAATTTATTCGAATCCAAATATGCATATACTCGATTCGAAATTATCGAATATCCGATTCGTTAATAATAATTATATATAATTTAATATATATATATATATATGCATATATATAGGATTTCGTTTAAGATTTTATTTATATCATATACATAAATATATTAAATATAAATATTAAACAAATAAAATGTATTTATATTTAAAACACATAAAAATACATTTGTATTTTGAAACATATATTCTATTCACAAATATATTTTAAAAATATATATATATATTTAAATATTTATAAATAGGTTCTGAAAATGAATATCGAATCGTATGTATTAAATATAAATATAAAACACATAAAATGTGTTTATATTTAAAACACACTAGTAGATATCATGTGCATGTGCACATATGTACATAAAATATTATAAATAATATTTGAGAATTTAATATTAAAATTCTAGATGATGAACATATTACGTTTTCAAAAATTTGATCATTAGAAAAAATAAATTAACAATTTTATTATTATGAACAATTGTTTATTATCATTAGATAATAATAGTTTGATTATTATTATTATTGTTATTATTATTGTTATTAAAAAAATAATTGTTTATAAGATTCCAAAGTTGTTTGACTATGCTATTAAAACAATTTACTAATTGTTTTTAAAGAAAAATTTTCATGAGATACAAAAGAAAAAGATAATATTGATGTTAAAATAAATAACTTGAAACGGTTGTTTATAATTATGTAATTTATATTTATTGTGAATTATTATTAGTTGGTATCAGCAATAACTATTATATAATATAATAAAAACATACATGATTACACTCAATAAGATGTATTAATGTGAGAAGTAAAAAAATATTAATGATAAGTTTTGTAACCGAAAATGGGGAAAAATTTTAGAGGTTTTATTAAATAGGTTTTGTTAAATGCTATATGCCAGCAATTATATATATATAGATAGATATTTAATTTATTCAAAAAAATACATTTGTATTTAAAAATATATATTATATTCACAAATATATTTTAAAAAAATATATCAATATATTTAAATATTTATAAATAGGTTATGAAAATGAATATCGAATCGAATATATAAATCGAATATATTCGATTATCTTAATCGAATCAAATACGAATCACATATTGAATTTGAGAAACGAACCGAATACGAATACAAAAAAAAGTCGAATACTTTCATGAATTTGAATCGAATAGTTAAAAATATTCGCTTCGATTCGATTCATTTACATCCCTATCCATAATGAACATAATTTATTTTCATTTACTTTCACTCTTTGCTATGAGAGAACCACCCGAACAGCTAGTCAAGTTGTAGGAACAAACTTTACACATAAGTATACTCCTACACTCTGCTAATCGCACAATTAATGGTTTTATTTAGTTGCTCTCATTAAGAGTTTGCTAATTTTGTATTCAGGTTTGGGAAGTGAACTTATCGAAGTCCGATTCTTCAAACTCTGAGACCAAAACGTTGATTTCATCGTCAAGAGTTACTCTTCTTTGTAACTTGCCTGTGCCCGAGTCACTCAAGACTGCTGCTCAAGGTCTCAAAAAGTACGCGAAACTCTAAATAAGCTAAAAACCGGTTTCTTTTGTATTGCTAAAACTATTTTTTATGTAAATAAAAGACAAAAGGGAATGACAATGAGCCCTTTGCAGCTATAGCAATTATCAAATCACCCTACCCAATTTGCATAATCTATGTTTGGCACAAGTTATTATTGCTCAGATGATTAATAAATGTCTATTTGATGACAATTATCAGTCGATTGTTCGCTCTATCCATCGAGCTATAATGTAAATTAAATAAAAAAAAAAAATACTGTGTGAATTTTGAATTTTTCCAGTCGAACGCACATTATTTTCGTAATTTATTGTGTGAACTTGAATTTTTCCACATCATAGTTCATTGCATTGAATATTTTGGGTTGGGAGTGGTTGCTTTGGCTTGTCCTGGCTTTAACAAAAGGACAATGAAAAAACAAATTGTATAATATGCAGTTTGTTAACATTAATTTCTCCAAAAAGTAGAATTTCTGTACAAAAATACACACACACACACACTCTAGTCCCATGAGTTGATAGAGAAGTTCATTTTAGGTTAATCATGCATGTAACATTTGGTCAATTATTGACTTCCCCTATTATATTTGAACAATTTGGGATGTAAATGAGTTGAGTCAAGCTCATGACGCTCGGATTTGGTTCATTAACTAAACGCAATAATGAGTTCAAATTTGACGCATTGATCAGTGAGTTTGAGATTTAATGATCTGAATTATAAAAAATTACATAAATATTGTAATTTTTTAGCCTTCAGCTCGACGTATTTATATACCAATCATGATTTGATTGTTAATTTTGAATTCATAATAATAATAATAATAACAATAATAATAATAATAATAATAATAATAATAATAATAATAATAATAGATAAATAAGAAAACAAAGACAAAGGAGAAAGAAAAAAAAAATTAAACAAGAGATTTGTGTTGTTTGTTGAAAAAACCAAATCCATAAACTTCCCCATATATCAATTTATAATTGTAGGCTTTGTTGCAGCATACATACACAACTACAAAATGTTTACAACTCTCCCTTTTTAAAACCTAAAGAAAGAAATTAGCTTAAAAATAACAAAAACAAAAAGAAAGTAAATTCTTTCACATTCTTCATCACTCCCAAACCAAACAAAGCAACAAACAAACACATTAACATAAACAGTAAACACTGATGACCTGTATTACTGTATATAATGAATATATGTATCCATTCCCAACCCGAAAACACCCTGCAACCAATATGATGTAGAAATAATAGAAAAAAAAAAAAAAATCAGAAACAAGTATAAATTAGATAGCTAAAACCCAAGTTCATGTTTTTTTGTTCACTTCACTTGTGATCTGTTGAGCAAATTTTGTGATGATGTCTGTTTTTGAGGTTATCATCGAACTTCACTTCCCATTCCCAAAGACCCGTCTTTCATTAATTTCAAGCTTAGACTGTTGTAACGTTCACGTGAATACTGTCTCGATGCCTTTCTCCAATCCGTGCCCGCTTTCATCATAGCTGCAAATTCGGCGTAACTTATACGCCCGTCCTGCAGAACAAAGCAATTATATAGGTTAAAAGATCAAGAAAAGAAAATTCGAGCTTCTTTTAGATTTTTTTCTGCTCATAGGGCGCTTTT